GTCATAAAAGAGCCAAGGTTGCCTACCCCTGAACTAGACCAGTGGTGGGCAACCTTGGCTCTTTTATGACTCGTGGACTTCAACTCCCAGAATTCCTGAGCCAGCCACACTGAGGGGAAAGGGAGAGGTTTCCAAGCTGAGCCATGCTGGCTCAGGAATTCTGGGAGTTGAAGTCCACCAGTCATAAAAGAGCCAAGGTTGCCTACCCCTGAACTAGACCAGTGGTGGGCAACCTTGGCTCTTTTATGACTCGTGGACTTCAACTCCCAGAATTCCTGAGCCAGCCACGCTGAGGGGAAAGGGAGAGGTTTCCAAGCTGAGCCATGCTGGTTCAGGAATTCTGGGAGTTGAAGTCCACGAGTCATAAAAGAGCCAAGGTTGCCTACCTCTGGCTTTGACCCAAAGCATCATAAGGGATGCTTTAATTTTTATCCCGCACTAAGAGACACATTCACAGTTGAATTTGTTTTGAGGGTTACTCATGGTTAAGTTTCCTAAACCAAATTTTTGACAGGATTTCGATTTACGGTCTGGAGGCGCAAAGTATTATTAGCCAAACAAAAGAGATTTATTTCATCTTCTAAGGCTTTCTTTTGTCTTTTTTTTGGGGGGGGGGGGAATAGAATGAAACATTTTTTCCAAAACCTATTTGGTCTTGTAATATTGCAGGGTGATGCAGGAGTCACTGGCCGGAAAATTATTGTGGACACTTATGGTGGATGGGGCGCTCACGGAGGTGGGGCTTTCTCGGGCAAGGACTACACGAAAGTGGACCGATCAGCAGCCTACGCAGCCCGGTGGGTGGCCAAATCTTTGGTGAAAGCAGGGCTGTGTCGACGGGTTCTGGTCCAAGTAAGTGACATTTTGTTAACCTGATAGTTTTATAGTCAAATAAAAATCAGTTTATTACAGCCATAAGACCAGTAGAACTGTTACATCTCTCTCTCTCTCTCTCTCTCTCTCTCTCTCTCTCTCTCTCTCTCTCTCTCTCTCTCTCTCTCTCTCTCTCTCTCTCTCTCTCTCTCTCACACACACACACACACAAACACATCTCTCTCTATATATATATATCACATCTGTCCCATCTGTCTCTCTCCCATCTGTCTCTTATCTGTCTCTCATCTATCATCTGTCCGTCCGTCCGTCCGTCCATCTATCTATCTATCTATCTATCTATCTATCTATCTATCTATCTATCTATCTATCTATCTATCTATCTATCTATCTATCTATCTATCTATCTATCTATCTATCTATCTATCTATCTATCTATCTATCTATCTATCTATCTATCTATCTATCATCTCTATCATCTCTCTCTCTCATTTATCTATCCTTCAACACTGTAACCCAATATACAGAATACAGTTTGAAAAACTAAATTGTTTAGTATCAAAATAGAACAGAATAGAATAGAATAGAGCTGGAAGGGACCTTTGGAGGTCTTCTACTCCAGCCCCCCCCCCTGCTCGAGCAGGAGCTCCTATAACATCTCAGACAAGTGACTGTCTAGCCTCTTCTTAAAAATCTCCACTGACGGAGCGCCCACAACTTCTGAAGGCAAGCTGTTCCACTGGTTAATTGTCCTCACTGTTAGGAAGTTTCTCCTTAATTCCAGGTTGCTTCTCTCTTTGACCAGTGTCCAACCATTGTTTCTCGTCCTGCCCTCTGGTGCTTTGGAGAATAATTTGAGCCCCTCTTCTTTGTGGCAGCCTCTCTAATAGTGGAACACTGCTATCATGTCGCCCCTGTTTCTTCTTTTCTTTAGACTAGCCAAACCCAAGTCCTGCAGCCGTTTTTCATATGTTTTAGTCTCCAGGCCTTGGATCATCTTAGTTGCTCTTCTCTGAACTTTTTCCAAGGTCTCAACATCTTTTCTGTAGTATGGGGACCAAAATTGGCTGCAGTATTGTTTAGAGCCGTGGTGGTGCAGTGGTTAGAATGCAGTATTGCAGGGTAATTCTGCCCACTGCCAGCAGTTCGATTCTCACCAGCTCAAGGTTGACTCAGCCTTCCATCCTTCTGAGGTCGCTAAAATGGTTGCAGCATTCCAGGTGTGGCCTCACTAGGCTTTTATAAAGCGGTACTAATACTTCGTGTGATCTTGAGTCTATTCTATTCTACAGATCTCTGTTCTCATGGTCTCTCTCTTTCTTGCACCCAGGTTGCCTATGCTATTGGCGTGGCTGAGCCACTGTCGATCTCCTTGTTCACTTATGGTACCTCTGCCTACTCTGAGCAAGAACTTCTCAACATTGTCCACCAAAACTTTGACCTTCGACCTGGAGCCATTGTCAAGTAAGTATTTCACTTTGTCTGTTTGGTTTTTTTTTTAAAAAAAAAAAGTTCGATTGATTTCCTAATTTTACATTTAAGTATTTAAAAAGCAACATGGCAGCCGGGTCAACCGATAATTCCATAACATGCAAGTATCTTTAATAGAAATCTCAAAGTACCACGTTCGATATTTCTTCTCTTTTCCCCTTAGCATTTACCGTCTCATATTTAAACTAATGTAATTCTTATTATATCAGTTGAATAAAAGTAACATTCTTACGGTTATCAGTAATTTTTCAGCTTATACATATCCTAGTTATTTTTGACATTCAGTCTTTATAGACCAGGGGTAGGCAACCTTGGCTCTTTTATGACTCGTGGACTTCAACTCCCAGAATTCCTGAGTCAACATGGCTCAGCTTGGAAACTTCTTCCTTTCCCCTCAATGTGGCTGGCTCAGGAATTCTGGGAGTTGAAGTCCACGAGTCATCAAAGAGCCGAGGTGGCCTACCCCTGTTATAGACAATCAAGGACCTGATTAGTTTTCCCAATTTTTAATTTCCCACTAATATTTGAATTTAACATTTATTGATTATAGCTGTACCCAGCCACGCATTGCTGTGACTGTCGTTCACTCAGCCAACAGATGGCGCTGTTTTTTCAAAAAAGCATGTTTTTACCTATCACAGGTGTGACTTCTATATAATAGCAGGAATATAAAAACACGCGCGTATTCAAATGCAACGTTGTGTCAAAATTTCAAAGCAATCGGTGAAGAACTGTCGGAGATTTAAGATTTTGAACAAACGAACATTTACATTTTTATTTATATAGATAATTTCCAGATTTTGAGTAACCCAAATTCCCATGATCAAATTCATCACGAAGTCTAATATTCAGGATACACATCTTGCCTATTCAAACATATTCTATTTCTCACCATCTTACATCATCTAATTAGTAATATAGTATACAACATTCTTATTTTCTATTAATTTCCAAATATCTTAACCTTAGCATTTCACTTTGGGGGTATAGCAGAGTAGAAACAAATGGTGGATACACTTGCTTTTCTAGTCCTGGGAACCGAATGAAAATCTGAACCTCCTTCCATTCCATTTCAAGTTTTCTCCCCAAAGAACCAGCTTCCGACCTGGAAGTATTTATGGTGTGCTCTCCCACCCTTGGGAGTGTGATAGTCCTGGGTCCTGGAGTGTCTCTGTGACAAACCATTTCAAATATGTCCCTCTGGGAAAGATCCAGCTTTATGCTCAACATGGAATCAAATAGTTCTTGCTCTAATTTGGCCAACTGGGAAAAGAGTCTTGGTTTCAAATGTTTGGCAGTTCCAGGGCTTAAAACCTGACCTCTGACAAGGGGTAGATTTATAGGGTGGCAGCAGTTCTGTCAGTAAAGGATTAATTATCCAAACAAGAGCCTGGCACTTTTTGAGGGAGAAGAGGGACTGGTCCAGAGGACAAAATGTTCCAGAGATTTGCAGGGAACGTCACAAGGAAAGATTGGCCTTCAAAGAAGACTATGCTGGCCCAGAAGGATCCAGAAGTGAAATGGATGTGTATAAATTCCCTGACCAAAAGGACCACGGTAGCTGCTTTCTTGATGTAACCTTCACTGGTAGCTCCCTCAACATACCTCTGGAGTTTTTAAAGCGGTGTGTTGTGGCGGTAGCTTGTGGTATCTCCTTTCGTGACAAGTATTTTGCTGGATCAACCAAGAGGTCCACTGAGGTCAGCGTTCTGATCTGGAGTGGTCAGCAAGATGCCAATGGAAAGTCTGCTTATTCAAACCTTTTCCTTTATCACATCTAGTATATGTATGGGGCATGGAAATTTGTCATTTATGGGATATAAATTGCGGCCTTATTCCGATCCCATTTCAAATGCTGTAGTGAGACCGAGCCTTAAAAAAAAAAAGAAAACCACCGAAAGAAAAGAAAGAAAGAAAGAAAGAAAGAAAGAAAGAAAGAAAGAAAGAAAGAAAGAAAGAAAGAAAGAAAGAAAGAAGAATGGATTGGGTTAAGATTGGAGAATGTGATTTATGACTGTTAATTAGAGGAGGGAATTGTGCTTTGATACTATGTGCTCAGGGGAGGGGAATTCAGATTTTGGCTTTGCCTATGTACGTGCTGATGTTATGCTACTCGAATAAAGATTCTTTAAGGTAAACAATGCCTCGAAGTTCTTTGAAGAGTTTCATCTGTCGAAACCATGACAATAACTTTATTTCCTTTTTTTGCTCTTAGGGATCTGGATTTAAGGAAGCCCATTTATCAGAAGACTGCTTGTTACGGCCACTTCGGAAGAAGCGAATTTAGTTGGGAAGTTCCAAAAAAGCTTGCCTTCTAACTTTCTTGGGCCAACCTCTCTCCATTTCAAAGGAACAGGATTTTACTACCCCGAGTGCTTCCGTTGACCAATGTCAGTGCTGAAAAAGAAAATAATAATGGAGAAACGGTCCCCTAGTTGCTTTCTCTACATCTCATCCCATGCAGACTTTACAGAGGATAAATTTGGGGCAGACGGACGCCATTTTAATTTTGTCTAATGCTGCTATTTTGGGGTAGGGAAAGGAAATTCCCTTTGAAAAGATGAGAAGGGCCCTGAAACCTACAATCAAACAACGGACTTTGTTTTTATTTTTATTTTTATTTTTCCAATCCAGCAAATCTACATCTTTCTAAACTACTAAGAGGAAGAAACATGTTTTTATTTTTATTTTTTCTCAGATTCGGTATGGTTTCTCAACATTTTGCAACAGGACAATTCGAGGCATCCTACTTCCATGTGGAGGTTGTACTACAAGGAGTAGCTTAACTCTTGGAGTGAAACAGAACATTTTCTCCTCTATTGGAGACCCATCTTTTTGAGAGGGGTTTCGCCACGTTTTACTAATTCTGTTCCAACTGTCCAATCCATGATTAATTCTTTCTTGCTCTTTCCTCTCTTTCCTTTCTTAACGGCCTTAGCGATAGCCCTTCACAGGGAAGCCTGTCCATTACGGTCCTGTGTCATAACGGTCATAAAAGCTGTGGTCATAAAGCAAACGTGGCCGTTGTTAAGCAAAGGCTACTCTCGTTAAGTGAACCAACGGTTCACTATGAGGATGGTGTTGCCCCAAACCGGAAGCACCCATTTTCGGCAAAACCGTTGCGGTCCTATGACTGAGGGATGCTGCAAATAACTGTAAACATGACGACGTTGTCAACCCCCAAAGTTTAGTCAGGGTCCAACTCTCGGAATTTCGAATCTGGTTCGTAGGTCCCCGTTTTTCGGGTCGGTCGTCACTTCAAACGGATTGCAAAGCAATCCATCGTGCTTCTGCAAGTAAACGTGCAAGTAAACGTTTTAGACACGTGCCCGGCACCTCTTATCGACATGCATCAACGCGGCTAACATTTCTGGAGCCTGTTTCTAGACAGTTTTAGATACAAATGTGGTTTTTTTTTTCTTTAAAAAAAAAAAAAAAGATTGGCAGAACGGAGGTTACACGAGCCACGCATTTCGGCCCCTGGTTGAGCCGGTGTGGTTGAATGGTAAGCGCAAGGTGTTCATGTGACTTGGAGAGAAGCTGTCGGCAGGAGAATAAATGCAGCAAGAAGCGAGGGAGGACATGTGAAGGAGGAGAGAGACGTAGTGGCAGCAGCCTGTAAAGAAATGGCAAAAGAATGACTCTTGGGGATAATGCTGGGAATAACCCCATGGAGACAAGACTCGGGGGAGTGGGAGAATAAGAGCCGTTTTTCCAGTATTTTAATTTAAAATATCGCCACTGTGTACTGACCCGAAAAATCAGGATACATGTTTGCTTCAGTCAAACTAATATCTTGGGCCAGTAATGAAAAAGAAAGCCAGTCTGGTTTAGTGGTGAAGGCTTAAAAACTAGGAGATGGTGAGTTCTAGTCCCGCCTTAGGCATGAAAGCTGGCTGGGTGACTTTGAACCAATCACCAGGAGACCATGAATTCTAGTTCCGCCTTAGGCTAAAATCCAGGAGACGTTGAGTTCTAGTCCTACCTTAGGCATGAAAGCCAGCTGGGTGACTTTGAAGCAATCACCAGGAGACCATGAGTTCTAGTTCCGCCTGAGGCTAAAAACCAAGAGACAGAGTTCTAGTCCTACCTTAGGCATGAAAGCCAGCTGGGTGACTTTGAAGCAATCACTAGAAGACCGTGAGTTCTTGTTCTGCCTTAGGCTAAAAACCAGGAGATTGTGAATTCTAGTCCTACCTTAGGCATAAAAGTGAGCTGGGTGACTTTGAACCAATCACCAGGAGACCGTGAGTTCTAGTTCCGCCTGAGGCTAAAAACCAGGAGACGGAGAGTTCTAATCCTGCCTTAGGCATGAAAGTCAGCAGGATGACTTTGGGCCAATCGCCAAGATATTGTGTGTTCTAGTCCCGTTTTAGACATGCAAGCCAGCTGGGTGACTTTGGGCCAGTCCCTCACACCTCACAGGGTTGTTGTGGGGAAAATAGGAAGAAGGAACGTTAGATAACGTTCGCCACCTTGAACTATTTCTAAAAACAGTGACGGTGGGATAAAAATAATCATCATAATAAAAAAGAGAAGGCAGAAAGAGGCATGCCTCCCCTGAGCTAGAGAAACGGTCCTGCAGAAACAAAATGGCTCCCAGGCATCGTCTGATGCTTCTTCGTTCAACTAGAATAAGAAATACAGAGGTGTAGCTCTGCCCTTATAGGTTGCGCTTCTTAAAATGAACGTTGCCTTCCCTTGCTTGGGATCAAAAGGGAAGGAAGCCCTGATTTGCGACATTTCTGTGCCTCCTCTCCTCAGAATTCAAACTCAGTATTTTACTTTACCGTGTAAAGCAGGGGTAGTCAACCTTGGCTCTTTTATGACTCGTGGACTTCAACTCCCAGAATTCCTGAGCCAGCTAAGCTGGCTCAGGAATTCTGGGAATTGAAGTCCACGAGTCATAAAAGAGCCAAGGTTGACTACCCCTGGTGTAAAGCATTATCTATGCTCAATGGTGCTATATAAATGGCTATTATTCACAGAGGACAGGCTGATGTCATAATCACAATTCTGTCTCGGGATTACAAGCGTAATCCCAGCCCGGGAAGATCCTATCAGTGCCTTGGTAGATATATGGGTTTTTTGTTTTTGTTTTAAATGGGATAAGGTGTTTTTTTTTTTCCCCCTCCTTCACGTCTAGCTTTTTTCCTTCTCTTGTGTGTGGCTTGTAAATCTCTCTTGGTGCTTGTTGATGGGTTTTCCGCTCCTGATGTATAGATCATTTCTTTGCTATCTGAACATCGTCACCGTTGGATCAGAACTGGCTGGCAGGGGGCAGAGAACCCTATCTTTAAAAGAGAGAGAGAGAGAGAGAGAGAGAGAGAGAGAGAGAAACAGAGAGAAAGGATGCAAAGTACACTTTTGCAATGTATTTAAAGTGCATAATTTTAATTAAATTTAAATAAAATTTGAAGCGAAGGGGACGGTAGATCACTTTACCCCCTTGAACGCAGCCGTTGCAGAAGGAGAGCGCTGGATTATTCTTAGGAGGATGAAAAATCGGAACTTGGTCCGTCCTTTTCTGCTAACCAGGGTTAAAAGGCACCAAGTGTTTTGTGAACTGCCTCTTCATTATTTCATCTGGGCATCTGATGAAGCGGATGACTTTTAATAAAAATCGGTTGGAAAATCAGCTACGCTTATGGTGTTTGGCCATTGGAGGGCAGCATAGCCCCACTTGGTTTAGTGTTCACGGATCACCTACCGGATCCCAACGGTGCTTTTTCCAGGAAGCAGCTGGACCTTCCTTTGTATGTCTTTGAAGATGTTTCGCTTCTCATCCCAGAAGCTTCTTCCGTTCTGACTGGACGGTGGGGAAGGGAAGGATTTATACTCCTTGCAGACTGCTGGTCATTTGCCTCCCTTATAGAGAGTCGTTGAGGCCACTTGGAGGTTTATTTGTGTCCTCAGGATCACCTGGCTCCTGTAGTCTGCATTTATTTCCTGGAAATCCATACTTCCACACCATTTGAAGGGTGTTCATCCCAAAGTGCACGGCTAAAAATCTACGGAGATTCTCGGTCATCTAGGTCCCGGTTGTCCCAAAGGTGCTTTTTTCAGGAGGCAACTGGACTTCATTGTTTTTCTTTGAAGACGTCTGCAAAGGATATAAATCCTTCCATTCCTCCGCCATCTTAGTCAGAGCTGAAGAAGCTCCTTGGGTGAGAAGCGAAACGTCTTCAAAGAAAAACAAGACAGCCCAGTAGCCTCCTGATCTGAATGACTGAGGATCTCCACAGACATGGCTCCCCTCGTTAAGTTATTTACAGAACCAGACAACCAAGGGGTTGTTAAGGGACCTGGGAGGTCTTCTAGTCTAACCCCCTGCTCCAGCAGGAGAACCTGTTTGGTTAGCTCTTCCTGTCTGCCGACAGTCCAAAAGTTGCCAATGAAGATGAAATTCATATTTATTAGGCCTCATTGTGGCAGGAGCTTTCTGAGCATCTCAGTTGACTCAACGGCCATTCTTTCTTTTTAAGAAAGCGAGGATCGCGATAATTTGACTTGGATAAGTTGATCTAGGTCTCCTAATTTCAAACCACCCAGGGCAACGATGATTCTCAAAACTATTTGACCCAAGAGTCTAGGGAGATTCTGTCATCCAGATCCCCCAAGGTGCTTTTTT